GCGCCGAGAGAGGCGGAGGCCGCGCTCACGCCCCCAGATCTGGAGACGAGCCACCTCGATCGCGCGGACGCAGGGGCGGGCGAGCACTCGAACCCCGTCCGCCGCTCGGGGAGGCAGCGACAACCTTCCGCCCGGCACCCCCGCCCACATGCCGCGCCCGCGCCCACCCTCGTCAGGGCAGCGCCGCCTTCCCCTGCCAGCAACATCCCCCCCGAAGAGCTGGCAGCGAAGCTCAATTTCGAGGAACTCGTGTGCAGCTGCGGCGAGACCCTGGCGTCGCGGACGGACTACGTGGACCACGTCCTGACGCACGTGGCGGGGGCCTTCCGCTGCCCTCAGTGCCCGTGCGTGTACACGTGCTCGTCCCGCCTGGCGCGTCACCAGCGCCTTCTGCACTCCCGAGGGGACACGCCCAACGACGCCCTCCCGCACGGCTCTCCGGTCGCTGCTCCGGGCGACGGCGTCGACGAGCGGTGCCACCTGTGCGCGGACGCGGTGGGCGGCGGCGACGGGGACCTGCGCAGCCACATGCGGGTGCACCTTTGCGGCGAGCACGAGTGCCCCGTGTGCGCGCTCCGGCTCGACACGTCTTACGCCATGGAGATGCACGTGCAGCGGAAGCACCCGAGCCTCCTGCACGCCTTCCTCAAGAGCGAGGACTCTCTGAAGGACGAGAGTTCGAAGGGCGAGGATTCGGGCGGCCTCCCCGTGCGGTGCGACGTGTGCGGCAAGGTCGTGGCCACGCCCTCGCGCCTCGCCCGACACAGGTACCTGCAGCATCCAGAGCACTACCCGTGGCCGTGCGCCGCGTGCACGCTGGCCTTCCCGTCGCTGCACGCCCGCGACCACCACATGTGCCCGCACCGACGGAAGGGCGGCAAGGCGGCGCCCAGTGACGGCAAGAAGAACGAGTGCCTGGTGTGCAACACAGCGTTCAAGTCGCGGTTCAGCCTGGAGTGCCACATGCGGCGCGCGCACCCGACCGAGGCGGTGGGCCCTCACGCGTGCCCCGTGTGCGGCCGCAGTCTCAGCTCCCGCAAGGCGCTGACGGACCACCTGCGCTGCCACCGCCGCGAGGGCTTCGCCTGCGAGTTCTGCGGCGCCAGGCTCAAGACCCTCGACTCCCTGAACGTGCACATCAACGAGATTCACACGCACGTGGTCCGCCTGCAGTGCCGCCTGTGCTCGCAGGTGTTCTTCTCGTCGGGGCGCCTGTCGTACCACATGAAGCGCCACCACACCGACCGCCGCTCCTACACCAACCTGTGCCACCTGTGCGGCAAGGCGTACCCATACCCGAGCGAGCTGCGGCTGCACCTGCGCGCGCACCGCAACGAGCGCCCCTACAGGTGCGACCAGTGCCAGAAGACGTTCCTCAAGCAAGGCGACCTCACCTACCACAGGCGCTCGCACACGGGCGAGCGCCCCCACAAGTGCCCGCACTGCGACGCACGCTTCCCCAGGCCCAACACCCTCATGAGCCACATCCGCCAGCAGCACCGCGACACCACCGCTAGCGCCGCGCCGACTGCTACCGCTACCACTGCTGTCAACACGGCCATCACCGTCAACGCGGCCGCCACAGACGCCGCTCCCTCCGCCGTCGCGACGGAGGCTGCCGTCACCACCGCCGCCGTGGGGCCCTACGTGAGCAACCCGCCCTCCACCGTGGCGCCGCCGCCGGTCTCGGCCTACCTGCCCGCGGGAGTGCCGTCGTCGGCGCCGACCGCCGTGTCCCTGCAGCACCACCGTGCCCCGGCCGCGGTGACGGTGATGGGGGTCGCGGGCGGCGTGGGGCGCGAGGGCGGCGAGGCGACCCTGGTGCCCGTGGTGGAGGGGCAGCTGGTGGAGGCCGTGGTGGAGGGCCAGATGACGGAGATGCAGCCCGTGCAGTACGTGCAGGTGGACGGGCTGTCGGCGGGACAAACCGTGCAGGCCGTGCAGGCCGTGCAGGCCGTGCAGGCCGTGCCGCACATGGTGGAGGGCATGGAGTACGACGAGGCGGGCAGCGTGCCCTACCAGATCGTGCATCTGCAGATCCTGCAATAGGCGGCCGGGCCGTGCGCTGTGCTCTCTGGGGGAATGAAGGACGACGCTTCAGCATCTAAAAGACTTATGCTGCCGAAGTATTTGCTGTGAAATCTGCCCATGCTCGTCCTCGGTCAGGGAGCAGCGGCAGAATTGCCAAACAGAAGTCTATTGACGTTATCGAATGATATCAGTATCATTATTGCCATAGTGGCATTATTATTGTTTTCAATACTCTTGTAATATTGTAATATCCATTGTAACATCATTATTGTTATTGAGAATGTTGTTAACATACTCCAAGTCATAGTGATAATGACATTAATACTTTTTTATAATAATTGATTATTATTGTGACAACGTTGTTATCGTGGCCGTTGCTCTGTCGTAACTGCCATTAACATCCTCATCAGCATCACCATAGGGTAACAAGGCCATTCAATTCTTTGCGAACATAATCGTTATTTCGTCC